AAAAAAAAAAAAAAAAAATTTAAGCTGGAAAGAGCAGGGTCCAGTTCCATGTCTATAGTATGCTTCTGTTTGCTGATGAAAAAGGGGAGATACACAGGTGTGACATATGTGCCTATTTTTCTAAGTAACATAAGTACACAGCATCTCTAGAAAGATACTTGGTTTGGGGAACAGAAGTCTTGGGGTGGAAGGAGGAGGTTCACTTTTCGACGTACATATAATCATTGGTACTGTTTGGAATTTGTAAATGGGTACTGCTTATTTTAATTTTACAATAAGACTATGGTAGTGGATTTTTATAAAAAAGACCCTCATTTGGTGTTACTCTCAACTGCCCCCCAGTGTCCTTGGCTGAGGTCCCTTGGCCACACTCTCAGCATGCCCACCCCACTTACCAACACAGGTGAGGTAGAGCACTGCATAGGCCAGGGGAAGAGCCTCCTTGCTGGAGTGGTAGGAAATCTGAACCTGTAGAGAGACAGGCCCAGAATTATGCTGGTAGAAGCCAACAGCTCCCAATCCCCAAAATAGCTCTCGAGGGATCTGGTGAGAAGAGGGGCCCTCAGGGATGTCTATGACCTACTGCGTGGTTTTAGCGAGCCCCTCTTCCCTAACATCTCAGTTTATCATTGGTAAAATAGGAGGTCTGGACTGGGCAGTGTTTAGGGACACTTATGTTCCTATCTGTGGGCCTCAGTCTGGCCTTGAGCTCTGGGCTCTGTGACTTTGACTGAGGCCTCTCACCTTTTTGAACTGCCTCACTTTTCTCACTTACAAAACAAGGACCACACGGGTTTCTGCCTCAGAGGATTGTAGGCAGCTTAGAATCAGCCCATGTTAAACACAGAGCCCATAGAAAGCACCTGAGATAAACCCAGCAAGACTACAGGAGTCAGTGGGCAGGCGGCACCTGTGAGGGTTCAGGACAGAGCGAGGGGCCAGACGGCCTGCACTTGGGTCCAGGATCTACCACTTATGGACATCCTGGGAAGTTACTCATCTCTGGGCCTCATCTTCCTCAACTGTAAAGTAGGGACAATGACAGCTCCTACCCCATAGAATTGCTTATGGCCCGTGAAGATGAAAGGAGTGATGTGAGTGACATGCTCAGCATGGTGCGAGCACCCCAGTCACTGTGACAAGGTGAGCTGAAGGTGATGAGGATAGCAAAGCAGTTGGAGGCAGGTGTATCAAAGTCTCCTTGGACCCAGGCCCTTCTCTTGGATATCCCCTCCTGATGCAGGTCCCTCAGCTGTCTGGCTCTGATGTCCCCATCTCAGCCAGAAGGTCAGGATCATGCAGAGGCCACTCGCCCCCCTCAGTCCCGGAAGCCCCTAAATCCTGCAATTACTGACCCCCGTGTCAGCACCAGCAATGATGCTCACTTCAGATATACAATTACCTGAATCCTGGCCAAAGGCAGGTGGGGGCAGGGGTGGGATATCTCTGACTTTCCTAAACCTTGGTGGCCACTGGGACCAAGGAATTCTAGAGCAGGCAGCACCGAGTCAGCCCCCCGCCCTGTTTGGCAGGCACCAGGAGTCCCTCGAAGGCTGTCTATTCCTCTTGCACCGCCCCTGAGACCCCTAAGGACACAGTGTGTCTAATAATTGCAGAGCTGGCATTCAAGCTCCAGCAGCTTGGCTCCAAGGCCAGGCGCTTGTCACTGTGCTGCCCTGCACTCTGCGGAGAGGACATTGGGCCCTACTGGAGCTAGAGCACTGCCTACCCCACCCTATCCCACCCAGACCAGAGGACGAGCTCACATGACTGTCATTGAGGTCGTTGCTGGGGGAGTTCATGACCACAATGATCTCCAAACTCGCATCAAAGTGCCACCGCCTGGTGTCTGCACGCTCCCGGCCCCGCCTCGAGTTGGGAGAGATGTAGATGTCCACGCCTGGGGTCCCATAGACCTCGAGCATCTCTGTGCCCTCGGGTACCGACCTGGGAAGGATAGGGAGCCACGGGGGAGTACTGAAGGGGGAAGCCCTTGTTGAGATATCTGAGCTTTGGCTCAAGCTCTGCTTCCTCCAGGAAGCCTTCCCTGACTACCCCAGGCCTCTCAGATCCTCACGGTAAGCACTGGGAGGCGAGCCTGGACCCCATGCAAACACATGCACAGCTGCATGTTCCAAACTCTGTGCTTGTTAACATCTCCCGTGGGTGTTTCTTTAGCTCCCACAGAGCTGCAAGCTCATCAGAAGCCGGAACCCAGTCGTGGGCTTTATGAGCCCCCTGTGCAGAACTGGGCACAAAGAGCTCAGTGAACACCAGTCAGCAGCAAGCAAGCGGACCCCTTCATGATTCTGAGATTGTCATTTTCAGAAGAGTAGTTCTCACTCCAAGTCCCATTATAGTGCCACCTTAACAGGTGATAAGATGTCCCTGGACATCCCTGGGATAAGATGTTCCTGGCTTCCCTAGGAAGGTTGTTCAATTTGGTTGAGTGTCTGCTGCCCCAAGCCCCTGACAGCAGCTCCTTTCACTTTTTTTTTTTTTTTGAGACAGAGCCTCAAGCTGTCGCCCTGAGTAGAGTGCTGTGGCATCACAGCTCACAGCAACCTCCAACTCCTGGGCTTAAGCAATTCTCTTGCCTTAGCCTCCCAAGTAGTTGGGACTACAGACACCTGCCACAACGCCCAGTTATTTTTTGGTTGTAGTTGCCATTGTTGTTTGGCGGGCCCGGGCTGGATTCGAACCCACCAGCTCTGGTGTATGTGGCTGGCACCTTAGCCACTTGACCTACAGGCACTGAGCCTCCTTTCACTTTTAAAGTCTACAAGATGAGTATCATTCCCATCTGAAAGGTGAGAAGTAAGCTCAGAGAGATCTAGTAATGAGCCTGAGGTCACACAGCATTAAATGGCAAAGCCAAGTTAGCACTCAGGTATCTCTGGCCCTGAGCCCATGCTTTTCCACAGCACTGCAGTATCGCCTGGGAAACTTGGTCAGATTTGGTAAAACAACCAGGTGTCCATTTTAAAACATTCTCAGTGTCATCTGGCCTTGAGACTATATTTCTCCCATTCCTGCTAGTCTGGGAGTCCTGTTTGGAAACCAGCCTGTTCATCCTCTGATCTTGGGATGCCCAGTGTGCACCCAGGTACTGCCCACCTGTCTCCCTACTACCCTGAGCCTTTGATCTCAGCAGGAAGCTGAGGACCAGTATTGCCCAGGGCAGTCAGATGGGGCTCTGGGCCATGGAGTCATGGCTCAGTGGGAAACCATGTAAGGAGAGGCCACTAGGAGTTGGAGGGCCCAGAAGGCTCCCTGGAGTAAGCAACACACACACATGCACCCCTGGGGGGCAAGGCAGCAGATGCTGGCTGAGCATATGCCAGCTCTCCTTGAGTTTCTTTATGTGTATTAAGTCATGCAATCCTCTCAATAACCCTAGGAGGTAGATACTATTATTCTTTCCCATTTTAACCTATCCAAGGTCATGAAGCTGGCAGGGCTGGGATCCAAATCCAAGCTATCTGGTTCCTGAGTCCACACACTTGCCCACCACCTCCCCAGGGGTCATAATGACAATAGTCACAATGACCCCATAGTCAAAGACCCCCTCCCCTACACCCTTACCATAGCAGGCCTGCTGAGGCCTTTCTGCCCGTGAGCTCATCTGATCCTCACCCCATCCCCAGGAGAAGATGGGGAAACTGAGGCTCAGGAAGGGCAAAGGACTTCCCCAAGTTTGCACAGGCGGCCACTCTGTCCCAGGCCCTTCCCATTCCCAGCTCCCATTGAGGAAGGCAGACCTTCCCCAAGCACCCTCCTCATTCCTTCACCAGCATAGTCCTCCTCATCGTTCTCAAAGTAGCTTTTTTACAAAATGGGAAATTAACCAAGCCCAAGCTCTTGCTCCACCAAGGAAGAGGGGACCCTCTCTAGTTCGAGGACCCTCCTGGGGTGACCTCCCCAGCTGGGAAGAGCTGATACACCTGTTTCTCCTTCCAGGCAGGGATGCCAGATTTACCAAATAAAAATACACATTCCCACAACTGGACTTGAATTTCAGATAAATGACGGATAATTCTGTCAGCATAAGTATATCCCATGTAGTATATGGGGCATACTTATATCAAAAAGTATTAATTGTTCATCTAGAATTCAAGTTTAACTAGGCATCTCTTTTTGTCTGGCAAGCCTACTCCCAAAGCCTGTAATTTCCAGGGCTGCTGGTGCCTCTGGCCTGTTATGCCCTGGGCGTGTGGGCCAGTTCCACATTAGGGGACACAGAGGAGCCAGAAAGAAAGAGATGGAGACACAGAGAGAGACAGGGGACTTGGACAGACCTAAAGAGATACAGAGTCAGAGACAGGGAGTCAGAAAACCAGAGACCCAGGTAGGCAGGGCACCTATCCCACCCCCAGGAGCATGCTTAGCTCCTCCCTCAGCCCCGCCCCTGGGGCACCTGAACTCCAGCTGCCCAGGAAGCTTGTAAACTTTTTATGGAGCCTCCCCCAACCCAAAGCTGTTCCTTGGGTCCCAGGTACCCATGAGCTGGGGCTGAGCCCCCTTGGTGGTCCTTCTAGTATGAAAACTCCATTCAGTTCCCAAACCCCAGTCCTTGCACCAGGCCCTGTGTGAGGTGCTAGGGGATCTCTGATGGGGATGGAGAAGGAGCCCCGGGCAGTGGCCCAGACAAGAGCTTCACACAGAAGGGGAACCAGCCACATCTGAGGTCAGAGAAGGGAGAGGTCACAAGGGCCAAGGGCTCCTCGGGTAGTACTGGGACCAGAGTTGAGAATTAGGCTGGGTCACACATCATTTATTTGACTTTGATTAGGTCATTTTTTCTCTCTGGGCCCAGTAATTTCACCTATAAAGTAGGATAATGACAGCTCACGGGCAGTCACAAGATGCAAATGTGATAATAGGGGAGGCTTGGAGCACCACCAGCCCAGGCTGGAGGAAGGGGTTATTAAAGTAAATTAGGGTGCAGGAAATGGATGGATGGAGGCAGGTTGAGGGAGGAGGCTGGGTGGCTGAGGAAGGCTTCCCAAGGGAAGGCACAAAGGGGAGAGAAACACAAGTGAGGGGAAAGTGTTTTCACCATGGGGTCTTGGGAGGACAAGATTAGACTCAGGCTGTTTTTTGTTTCACCCTAGGCAATGGGGAGCCAGTGATGGTTCTTGATCAGGAGGGGCAACACAATGGAGCCATGGCAAGGTAGTTGAGCTCGTGGACCCTGGGGCCAGGTAGCCTAGGTTTGAGTCCCAGCCCCACGGCTCATTAGGTGTATGACCTTGAGGGAATAACCTTTAGTCAGCCTCAGTGTCAATAACTCCACCTCTGGAGGAGGTGAGGGAGAGATTAAAGGAGCCAATGTGAGTAAAACACTCAGGATGAGTGAAAGTCATTGCCTCAATTCACTGCTGGGGAAACTGAGGCCTAGAGAGAAGTGACTAGAAGGTAGGGCTCTAGAGCCCAGGCCACTGCTCATGCAAGCCATGTGTTAGGAGGACCACGGGGCTGGCTGCTGGGAGGATACCTGCATCAGGTAAGGGAGGATCCAGTTTCCCATTTTCCAGAGGATAGGGGAAGCACACAGGGCCTCGCCTGGACAAAGTTCTTCCTCTGGCCAAGCCACCTTCAGCAGCCAGTGTAACTGAGTCCTCACACGCTGGCTTTGGGGCAGCTCTGGACAGTATTCCTAGCCCAGCTCTAGGAACAGCCATGGTCTAGGGCCTGAGCTCTTCCCTGCTGAGTCTGTCCCTCCCAGGCAGCTGAGGTCTCAACTGCTCCCATGGGATAGCCAGGGGAGGGTGAGTAGTGGGTAAAACCTGGTAGGCAGGCTCGGCGCCTATAGCTCAACCGGCTAAGGCGCCAGCCACGTACACCTAAGGTGGCAGGTTCGAATCCCCAGCCCGGACCCACCAAACAGCAATGATGGCTGCAACCAAAAAATAGCCGGGCGTTGTGGCGGGTGCCTGTGGTCCCAGCTACTTGGGAGGAGGAGGCAGGAGACTCACTTGAGCCCAGGAGTTGGAGGTTGCTGTGAGCTGTGATGCCACGGCACTCTGCCCAGGGGGACAGCTTGAGGCTCTGTCTCAAAAACAAAACAAAACAAAACAAAAAAAACCTGGTAGGCGGACCAACAGCTCTGGTTTGCTGGGACTGAGGCTGTTCCTGAGCTACAGAACTTGCTGTTCTAAAACCTGGACCGTTCCAGGCAAACCAGCCCGCTGTCCACCCTAAAAGCGTCCAACCCCAGACCCACCTTACTGAAAAATGCAGATTCTCAGAACCAGAAGTATAGTGGGAAGGGCGCTGGAATTTGCATTTTAAACCATTCCAATGTCCACTGACATCTGAGAACCACAGCTAAGAGTGGGCTGTCTCAGACCCCCCAGGAGTGCAGGGATGACTCAGGTCTTCCTCTGTGTTCTTGTACCACCTCCATTAACGATGAGGAAGAGGAAGATAGTGACAGTGGTGTTGAAGGTAGCTCCCACAGCCGTGTGAGACCTGTGCTATTATACCCACTTTACAAATGGGAAAACTGAGGCTCAGAGATGGCAGGTGACATGTCCAAAGTCACACAGCTGGTAAGTGACAGAGCCAAGACTCACAGCCATCGCTGTCCCCACTTCCCTGCAAACACAAACCCATCCTCTTCCTTCAGGGGTTCAGGGTCTGGGCTTCTAGGAAAACAATACCAGATAGATATTTTAGCAGCCGAGAAACTGATAGGAAAGGACCCCGTGGTTGAAAACAGAAAAGCTATTCCAGCTGCCCCTCCCTACGCAGTGAAGCTGCCAGATCCCCCAACTCTGTCCGCCTCAGCAACAGAACCAGGTTCAGGAAATCACTGTCCCAGCCTAATCCTGTGTTGCCCTGCCCCGCTCTGCTCCACCCCTGAAAACTAGTGGCCACACAAACTTTTTCCAAAGCCTTCCAGCGCCCAGCATGGGCAGATCTGAGCTCTTGCATCAAGAAAATCCCCATGTCAAGAGAACAGAAGCTGATTTTTCAAATCAGGGAGGGGTCTCAGAGGCCGAGCTTGAAACCCATTGGTCTAGCCCAGCCGCTTCAGGTCCATATGGGGAAACTGAGGCCGACGGAGAAATAGAAAGGTGCTCAAGGTGACACAGCCAGTGGTGACAGAGCTAGGGCCAAAACTCAATGTTCCTGGCTCCAGTAGGCAGCCTCCGTGGAGCAAGGGGTGACACAAACAAGCTGGGATGGGAATTGTTTGTTCTGGCAATGAAGGCAGGTTCTCAACCCTGGCCGGGTGGAAATTGAACAAACCATGACACTGAGCCCCTCCACAGGTGCACTAAATCAGGCTTTCTGAGGTGGCCACAGCACCAGATCTTTGTCAAAGTTCCCAGGTGACTCAAACGTGTGGCCAAGGCTGAGCGGGAAAGAAGAGGATGTTGAGAGTCCGTTGGCCCTGCCCTCTGCCTTCTCCAAATGCTGCCCCCAGGGGCCATGCAGAGATAAGGAAGACAGGGTAGCCCCTGGAAAGACTTGCTGCTTTCCAGGCTGCTGTGTGTCCCAGGCCCCTCTGAAGCCATGATGATCAGCCCAAGTATCCTGGATGGGGGGACTGCCATGCCCAAGATGTTGGGGAACAGCCTCTGACCCATACTGGGAGAAGGGGGAGGGTGTTGAAAAAAGAGAAATCAGGAGGCCAAGCAGTCAAGGCAGCCTGCCTGGAGGAGGGGCACCAACCAGAGCCTTGAAGGATGAGCACAGGTGAGACTATTGGGCCTCTCTATGGCAGTGGGGTCAACCCTGCCTTCCTGTGCATCTGGAAATATTTGCAGCTCTGCAGCTGTCAGAGCCAAGTGCTCCGGTACCGCGCCACCGCAGCCCCACCAGCACCCCCAATCCAGGCGAGTCTCAGCACCTCTGTGACTCAGTTTCCCCTATACCAGTAGTCAGGAGTTGTTTGAATTGAAAGACCCGGTCTCTAGTTTTCACTCCCTCCCTAATTCACTGTGTAAGCCCTGGCAAGGGTTTAGTTTCCCCATGTAAACAAGGAAGGTGTGGGTAAGACCCCAAGGATGCCTCTGCTAAGCCCGGACACTGCCCTCCGTGGAGCAAGCTGCCAGACTCCGAAAGTATTTCCGTGTGTTAGGGGAGTGCCCGGCAGAAGTGGGTCCGGCCCATCTACCATTCTCATCAGAGGTCATTCTGAGATGTTCATTTGGCCCAGTAAGAACCAAACCAGCTTTCCCCCCAACTCCCAGACCTTGTGCTGAAGTCCGAGCACTGGGAAGGAGCTACAACGAAAGCAGAAAACCACGTGGGTTGCGGAACTTGATGGCATCTGGGTTCAAGTCCTAGCTGAGCCTTGTGGGATAGGACTTGTCAGGGCAACATCCCTCTGAACGCCTATTCTTGCATCTGTAAAATGGACATCGCGGTGCAAACAAGACACCAGGTGACCAGTGAGTAGCTCCAGGTAGCAAGGTACTAGCCTTCCATCCCTGCCCTCTGACCTAAGGCTCACTGCTCAGGAAAGAAAAGTCCCCATATCAGGTCTGGGCCATACCCAACTCACAGGAAGGCAGAGTTAACCCCACTGCCATAGAGAGGCCCAACAGTCTCACCTGTGCTCATCCTTCAAGGCTCTGGTTGGTGCCCTCCTCCAGGCAGGCTGCCTTGACTGCTTGGCCTGCTGATTTCTCTTTTTTCAACACCCTCCCCCTTCTCCCAGTATGGGTCAGAGGCTGTTCCCCAGCCATCTTGGGCATGGCAGATTTGGGAATGCTTGAGGCCGTCCACAGGTTCAAGGTAAAGACTTAAAGCGATGATGACAATGATAATGATAATGAATGTTCACATAAGCCAGCTATTAGTTATATAGACTTTGCACGCACATGCTCATTCAGTCCTCCTGACAGCCCTTTGTAGTAAGGCCAAGCTGTTCGGGTTGCATCCTGGCTCTGACATTCACTGGCTGTGTGACCTGGGGCAAGTTATTTAACCTATATGTGCCTCAGTTTCCTCATCTATAAAACGAGTATGATGATTGTACCCACCTTATACAATTGTGAGAATTAGTAAAGTGCTTAGGACAGGGACTGCTTAGGACAGGAACTAAATATCATTGCTAATAGTTCTGCTATCTCCATTCTACAGATGAAGAAACAGAGACTTGGAGAGCTTGAAGGACTTTCCCAAAGTCAGACAACTGGGAAGTGGCAGAGCAAGACTCAGCCACCACACCGACTGCCCGTTCCCTTGCTGGCCCACAGGCAGAGCACCCAGGATCATTTCAGCACAGCATCTCCAAGTCCCAGGGAACCTCACAGCTACCCCTGTCCTGCTCCCCTTCTGAGATAGGGGTCCCTTCTGTAGCACTCCTGCAAGAAGGTGGGCTTGCCTTTCTCGAACTCCCAAGGGCAGGGTTCTCAGAGGGCAGGGGCCGTGCCTGCTTGTCCACCACTGTGTGTGTCCCAGTGCCTGGCAGGCACTAGACCCAGAAGAAGTGCTTGAGAAATATGTGAATGAACAAACCAGGAGTTCTCTGTGCCACCCACCCCAGGGGTTGGTCATTGGGGCCCAAGAATCACACATTTGATGATTCTGGAGCCTCCACCCCCACCCCGTGTCTGTCCCAGCCACAGCGTTCTCTGAAAATCCTCCACCTGGCTCATCTCACTCGGGGACCCTGGATGTTGTGGCTTTTGCCTCTGGTTGCCCTGATCTTCCTCTAGCCTCTCAGGAAGCTTTGCCAAGAAGAAGCCAGCTCCAGGCTTCCTAGGGCAGGTCAAACAGGGGGCGCATCTGCCCGGTAGGCATGAGGCAGCTGGGGCAGGTGAGTCACTCCCACAGCACACAGCCCTGCAGCAGGCAGTGGCGCCAGGCCACATGGCACCCCTCCTCCCTCATCACCCCTTGGCACAGCCTCTATAGCTGCCCCTCCTTCAGGAGCCATTGAATCCCCTCCCTACTCCTCCTTCCCCACCCACCAGCTATAAGCCTGTTCCAGATTTGGTTTCCTCCCATGACCAACTCCTCATCCCCTCTCATCCAATGCCCCAGACAAACCCTGCTGCTGCTTCCCACTAAGTTTGCTCTAATTTTAAAAGTCTTAGTTTAGGAAATTTGTTTTCAATGGGTAACTTTACATAAGACTAGGTTTTTTGTGATCCCCACCCCCACCCCCCAGAGCACATTTGGCAATGTCTGGAGACTCTTTTTGATTGTCACAAGTGAGAGGTATGCTACCAGCATCTAGTAAATAGAGGCCAGGGATACTGTTCAACATTCTACAATGCACACAGGCCAGGCCCCCATGATAAGGAGTTACCTTGCCAATAGTGAGGTTGAGAAGCCTGGTTTGAGGAGGGGGTGGGAGACCTGAGGGGTGGACGCAGTTACGAGGTCCTGCAATTTCTCTTCCCAGTGTCCTGTTACCTGTTCCCAGCTCAGCTTTAGCCCAGGGACCCTGGAAGCTCTTCAAAAGTCTAGGAAGCCTGAGCTCCCTGGTGGTTCCTAGAGTCCAGCTCCTAGAACCCTGTCCTAAACCTCTTTTTCTTTTCTTCCTAGGAGAGAGAGAAGATGGGGCCTTAAAGGTATGACCTGGGTCACAGCAAGGGCATAATGCATGGGTGTTAAATGGCTGGAAGAAAGCAGATCTGAAACCCTTCCTTCTCAAGTGGAAGAGAAGCTAAAACTATAAGACTGGGTTTAAATCCACAGAGGCTATCTCAAGAGGAGATGAGGGAGGCGGGGTGCCAGGAGGCTCTTGTCACTGTGTGACTTAACGTGCATGGCTTGCCCTCTCTGTGCCTTGCTTCTCTCTTTTGTCAGATGAGATGATGCTGATAATCAACCTAGCTCATAGGATTGTCATAAGGTTTAAACTTGAGAGTTAGTGTTTGAGGATTAAATTCAAGAGGCTTTTCAACCGCTTAGAGCAGTGTCTGACATATAGAACGTGCTACGTAAGTTGGTTTTTAAAAATGATTAACACTCTGTGTTCAGGCTCATAGGCTTGGGATACGGATGGCGGATATACGCTTCTTCCTATTCTTGTGTGCCCCAGACAGGCCCATAGCCTAGCCTGCGGGATCCTTTAGACAGAGAGCAGTGCCCAATGCCTCCCACCTCTACAGCACCAGCACCAGTTCAGCCACTGCAAGACTCTACCTTGTTCAGCCTCCCACACTTCCCCACTACCTCCTAGTTGGGGTAGTGAAGAAACCAGCGTTAACCAAAGCAAGGACCCAGGCTTCCTTGATTGGCTGCTCTTCTAAGGCCAAGGCTGGGGAGTGGGCAGCCAAGCTATGTCTGTGCCCAAAGAAGCACCACCCAGCTTGGAGGAAAGAAGGCCCGCCCAGCCACTGGGTCTTACCCATAAATGTCCACGAGGGTCTCCACGCCAGCCACACACACGGCGCTGGTGGGATGCTCCAGGGACACACGCACCATCCTCTGCAGCGACATGCTGGCCTCGGATGGGGCTACAGCCACCAACCCCAACACTGCCCCAGAGGCCCTTGGGGATGTGGTTTAAAAGTCCTTGGCCCCGCCCCTCCACCCAGGGTGCTGGCTCATTGGCGCCAGTCTTTAAAGCCCCGCCCCTTACCAGAGCTTAGCGAGCAAACAATTGGCTGGAATAGACCCTATATTTGCATAAGAACCTGTTGGTCCCTCCCACCCCCAGCAAGGAGCGAGTTAATTTCTTGCTCTAAGTTGAGCAAGTCCCCACAGATACCTGACTAAGCACCAGGGACTGTTGTGGGCAAGGGAGAAGGGTGTGCAGAGATACTGTTGGTCTTGGACGCGTCCTTATCCCTTGGCCTCCCTTTCTGTATTTTCAGAGAATAGGTTTAACAGAGGTGGGAGGGGAGAGCTTCTCTACTCTGCTTAGGGAGTCAAAAATGCAAATTTCCAGACCTGGCCTCTAGAATGATGCAGCACGTTGGGGGTGCAGTTTGGCTTCTAAATTTTTTACAAGCACCTCAGAGAATTCTGATGCCCTTTGAGAAATACCAGCCTTTTTTTTGAGCATGAATTTTAAAGTGAGGTCTGAGTTTCACCCCTGCCTCAGCCCTTTCCTGGCTGGGTGACCTTTGGCAAGTCTCTTAATTGCTCTGTGCCTCGCTTTTCCCATTTGAACAATGGTTGCTGGCAGGTACAAATGGGCCAAGGTCAGCAGAGCTCTAGGACGGAGCTTGGTGTTAATTGAGTTACGATTGTGGTTATTATTGTTATTAGATGCCAAAAACCTCTGAAATAGGTAAATGATGAACACTTCCCAGCCAGGGGAAGCTTAGAATGTCAGAGTAGGAAGGTTTACTTGTCAGGTGGGGAAACTGAGGCCAGGGGACATTTGAAAAAGCAGAAATATGCTGGGGAATGGATGTAGAAAGTTAGGCCTTCCCCTGGGGCACTGGCCCAATATCAACCTCCTGCTCAGAATCTTTCAGAAGACCCGTGCATTCACTTCTCCCCAGTTAATGCCAACTTTTAAAAATAGGCCCTTGGCTCATTCAGACTAAAGTGTCAATGACTGATGGACAGCAACTTTTTGCCTCTTAGTGCACAACAAAAGCTAAAATAAAATGAATGAGTGAGCATCAAAGGGTGTGATCTGAGGCAGCAGTGTGTAGGATGAAAAGGTGATTTTTTAGGGTTATAATACTAAGACTGGGTAACTTAGAACAGGTGATATTTTTAGGGGTATAACACTGAGACTGGGTAACTTAGCAGAAAGCAAAGGGAATTATAGTGGCCTGTGTTCCTGGACACCAACACTGCTTGGGAATGTTCTACCTCTGCCAACAGGGCCCAGGCCACCTCCTACTACCTCTGTTCAGCTTCTTTGAGAGATGGAAGTGGCCCAGGGAAGGGAGAAGAGAGAAGGAAGCAGGACCTATCCCTCCCATGATGTCTATCTCAGCAGAACCCGTCAGCCCCAGGGCAATGGGCATGTGCCAATCATCCTGCTGAATCAGCCTACCTGCCTGGCACTGGCCTTGGCACTGGGAGGCTCTCCCAGCCATGTGTGGGCTGTCTATGGCCAGCAGAATTTAAGCCAAGGAGCTGGCAGCAAGATGGTGGCACTGGGAGCAGGCCCCACTCCCCTTCCTCCCCTCTTCCGCACAGCACAACAGAGACTAAGGAGGCAGTCACTTGAAGAAATGCTTACTGACATTTTTTATTGATCAGAAACGAGGACTGGTCATCCAGGACAGTCCCAGAATGGACACCAGGCCCCTGCAATGATTCTAGAGCTTCCTTCATTCAGTGTGGCTCAAAAGGCTTGTTCCCCAGCCTCCCCATCTCTCTGCTGTGCCCATTCCCCTCCTGCCCTCAGCTCCTTCCCCAGGAAGACCCAAGCTCAGCCTCACACCCTCCGCCCCTGAAGAGCGTCTTTCTCTGCTTCCTTAGCTTGGCCTAGGCTAGGCCATGATCCTAAGCAGAAGGTGCTCAGGTTAAAGCTGGAGCTTTCGAATGAGGTTCTGCAGAACCTTCTGGAAGGGAAGGATCCAGATTTTCACCCACCACTTTAACCATAGCAGTTCCATGTAAGCTTTTGTTTGCTAAGTGTTCTAAGGCTAAGAGTGATCGTAGCTGGGCTGGCTCAGTCTGAGGTCTCACTAAGGGCCCCTAAAAAGCAGACAGGATCAAGGGGCCAAGAGCCCACTGACCTATGCATATTGGTGACCTCACCTAGGGCTATTAGCCTCCTGTGGCAGCTGTCTTCTCTCCTCTGAGAGGGGACATGGGCCTGGCACGGGGGTTTACTCAGAAGCGAAACCCAAGCTACATGCAGGGATGCCTAGAGAGACTGGGTGAGCCTTCCCCCTCCCACTGCCTGCAGAAGGAAGGGGAATAATTAAAGACAATTAAAAGAAATTAAACCCCACCTTCAAAGATAACTTAATGGCCCCCCACCCTCTTCTAACATCTGGGGCCCCACTCCCTGCTACCTCGGGAACAGCCAGATCCCGTCAAATCCAGAGCCCCAAATCCAAAGCCCAGGAACCCCAGGACACAGAGGCCTCTAGGCCCCAACATCCAACGTCAGTCATGAATTTGGCCTTCTCTGCCACCCTGGCCTCATCCTCTCATGTCCTGTGTCCTATGTGTGCCCTCAGGCCTCACTTTGGCCACTCAACATTTTTGAGTCAGAAGCAGCCAGCTCCGGTAATTAGAGGCTTTCCAGACAGGTAACAAGCACCCTTCTGAGGATAGAGTCAGGTATTAAAGGTATTTTGATTGTCTTTTTTTTTTCTTTTTAAACTAGGCCCTCGGACACTGGGTTTTGCTGTCCTCATTTGGCTGCATAAAGCTGAAGCTGAAGTGACCGTGGGGTGGGGGTGTCACAGCTTTAGGTCCCCTTTGGTAGGAGAAGGTTGATAGAGGGGGAGGTTGCCACTGGTTCCCCCTCTCAGTCCTACAGGAGCCAGAGGAACTAGGGCCCTCACAGCAGAGCCCAGGCCATCTGGGCCCACTCCTGGTGCAGTTATTATCCGTGTGCCCCAGAGAGGCAAAAGAATAGAGAGGGAGCAATTCAAAGTGGGGTTCACTTGCTCAAGGCACTCACAGCCATTCTTAAACATGCTAAGGCTGCGGTTTTCTAGAACCTCTGGGGGCTGTGGGTGGGGAAGAGGACGGGGAAGAATGAGGTGAATCCTTCTTGGGTTCAGCAGGCCACTCGGGACAGGTGGTGTCTGTCCCTATGTCCCAGTGCCCACAGAGGCCAGCATGTTTGCAAAGTGCCAAGCCCCCCCCCCCACCAAGAGGATGGAGGCCAGGTGTGTGTTCCTTGCCCTCACCCTGATATGGGCCCCCAGCAAGAGGGGCAGAGAGGACGGTAAGTGGGAGCCGGCTCAGGGCACCATGTTCCACCACTTGAAGGGAAAGGGCTTCCGGAGCACATTGGTGCCGCAGTGGATCTCCCCAGACAGCTTGTGGTAGGACAGGTAGTCATCAATGAAGATACAGTGGAGGCCCAGGGGCTCCAGCAGGGACCGCACCTTCTCTTCCAGGCAGCAGTGGCCGTTGATGATGGGCCCATAGGGCTTGGGGATGCCCAGGTACTTGTCTAAGACCACCATGTTGACCTGCAGAAGAGAGAAGGCAAGACAGAGTCTGGGCTGGCTGTGAATGCCTGCCCCTTTGGTGTCTGGCTACTGCTGGCGCAGCCCCAGGGCCTGTCCTGTTGTCTCCAGCATTCTTGGGCCACCAAGACTTGGGCTTGCTCAAGAACTAGGATCTATGGAAGCAGAGAAGAAACAGATTCAGGATGGGAAGGGAGAATTAATAATGGCTAGGGCTGCCTGTAACCTATGCTGTATCTTTGTATGAATTAAAGTCACCCCTCCCTCCAACACTTTCTTCCATCTATCAGAAAATTATAGCATTGCAGCAACTTTGTTATAATAAGAGATTTTACTGTCATCTGCCAGAAACCTATACAACAAATACATAAATCTGTAAGGTCAGGATGTGAACGTCCTCATAAGTGTGGTGTGTTTATGCCGTACACGGCTTGCTCAACTGTCTGTGGCAGCCCTGCTCATTGTCACCGTTTGCTGAGCATCTTCTATGCGCCAGACATATCAACACTAAATCTCACAGCCTCCCTCTGAGTCTGTGGTTGGGACAGGTTAGGAAACACGACCAAGTTCAAGTGAGACTAAGATTGGAACTTGGATCCGACTCAAGCCAAAACCCATACTCTTTATACCAGGCGTCCTCAAACTACAGCCTGCCTAGGACATTTATCTGGCCCCCTGGGTGTTTTTGCCGCCGCCTGTCCTGCTTAGCAGCCGACTCATCCCAGGGCCCGCAGTCCGGCCCTCCAATGGTCTGAGGGACAGTGAACTGGCCCCCTGTTTAAAAGTTTGAGGACCCCTGCTTTATACCTTACCAGAATGTGGTACTCCGGCCACCTGTGTGACTAAGAAGTTGGGGAAAGGGGCTTGCACCCCTTAGGGACACCTAAATTTATCTCCAGTGGCACCTCTGATTCCCTTGGTTACAGCCTGGGCTTGGGGCCCTAATGCCAGGGAAGGGAAGTGTCTCTAGTGCCGGAGTATGGCTGTTCCCTAGAGGAACTCTTAGCCCCAGATTGATGGCAAGAGTCATAATGGGCTGCCCTTGGGGTTCAAGAGGACTTTGGACCTGCTGTCTAGATGGTATGTCTTGGTGTGGGATGGGCTGTCCTGGACTCTGGTCCCTCAAACTCTCCATGCCCCTCACTCTCAAGTCTGCCATGTATGGCCATCCATGCCCTGGGCCAGCATGAAGCTGGAAGGTCCCATGAGGTCAGTTCCATGGCCTTGGGCCTGAACTACCTAGTTGCCCACTAATGGGCCAGAACATGCAGGGTTGGGGGTGGAGGACAAGGCCAGGGAGGAAGCAAGGAGGCAGACTCAGTACCACCACGGCCAGCTGGGCCTTTCTTCCTCCTGTGTGAGGAGCCATGAGATTGGGGCCTGCTCCCGGCTATGCCAATTGCTCACTATGTGGCCTCAGGGAAGTCACGCCTCCCTAACTGAGGACCTCAGTTTCCCTATCTGACAAATGAGAATGCCTAATGGGGAGGGGTTTCTGGCAAGTGGAAGCCAGGCGACAGACTAAGGAGCATTGACCAAGGTCATGGGCCCCAACCTGACCCTCCCCAAGCCTAAGGCAGAACCAGCGCCAAGTTGTCCCTTAGCACCTCGCAGTCCAGTCCAGTAGCCACAAGCCACATTTCCAGTGCCCACATTTCTAGTCCCCACACGTGGCTGAGTGGCGTCTATGTTGTATGGTGCAGATACAGACCATTTCCAGTCATCACAGAAAGTTCTAACAGATAACACTGTCTTGGAACACTTCTCAATTTTCCCTCTTCTCAATCAGGAAAAATATTTACCCTAGGGCATTTTTGATTGTCACAACCAGGGAAGTGCTACTGGCATCTAATGAGTAGAGAGCAAAAAGGCCACTAAAGACCCTGTGATGTGCAGGCCAGCACCCAAGACAAGGGGTCATCCAGTGTAGAGTATGATTGAGCTATTGAGGTAAGCTCGAACGGCCTCCAGGGTCTCACCCTGGACCTAGAGGCTAGACCCCTACAGTGAGGCGTGCAGGTCCTCCTCACCTGCCTCCAACCTCCATCCTGATACCCAAATCTACTCCCAACCCCTGACTTGTCTGCTGAGAGGGATTTGAGTTAAGGGCCCCAGTCTGAAAAGAGAGGGTCTAGCCCCATCCTAGAGGACCAGTCCTAGGTGCCCACACCCCAGCATCCTTTCCCAAGGGGTTAATGGGCACTTTGGGCTGTCCTGCGGCAATAGTATTGCTCTGGTCCCTCCCAGGTGACACACAGGTGAGATCACCTCTGCTCATCTGCTTGTCAGCTGCTCGGTTAATGAGAACCAAGAGGACACCGCCTTCCCCATCTGCCCAGTTCAGGAGCCCCTCTGGGGGCAGCAAGGGGGCAGGGGTGGGGACAGAGCCAGCAGCTGAGGCCCAGAAACAGGAGTCAGGAACATCTGGAACAAAACCATGCTTTCTTTTTCCATTTGGAAAAGAAATAAGAAAAAAAAAAAACCCTGTGTGGTTGAGAGCCATTCTGTGCCTGCAGGATATTAACATCCCTGGTCTCTGTCCACCAGATGCCAGGAGCACCCACCTCACTGTGGTAATGAAGAATGCCCTTGGGGCAAAATTGCCCTGGTTTAGAAGCACTGACGGGAACAGGCCCTACCCGCACACAAGCAAACACTGGAGAGGCCTGCAGGAACTCAGCCCCTGTGCCAGCCTGCCCGTCCATCTCCTCTGGTCCCAAAAGATCCCCCCATCAGGACCCTGCTCGAAGGCCCTCACCATGTCCGGGAAGAAGGCTTGTGCGTAGGACTCCCTCTGGGTGAAGAGCTGCGGGATGTCCACGATGTCACTCTCGTCCAGGCCCAGCTCCCGTTTCAGCACCTCACGGTTCCAGTCGATGCATTTCTGGGGGGCAGGGCACACCCCAAGACGCTTGCCAGGCACCTATTGTGCCTGGCCTGTGCAGCCCTCTGTGCCCAATAGCACCCTTGAGCCTCACAGCAACTTTGTGCAGTGGAAGCCAGAGGTCTCCTGGGGAAACTGAGGCTCAAGCAGCCTTCTCATAGCCAGGAGGTGGCAAGGCCTGGGTTTGGGCCCAAGCAGCTTCTGGTTCCAAAAGCCATTGCCACCACAACACACTCTCCAAGCCACCGACACTGCTCCTGTCCCATCTCAGCAGTTTAAGAGAAAGTGCCGGGCACTACTGCTCAGTTCCGGAGCCCCAGCTCCGCCAGGCTTCACTCTGCACGGGGCAGGCATGATCCTTGGCACGAGCCCTGCTCCTTCTTAAGCCCTCGTTCCACCTGTTCTCACAGGATCACTCCCTGCTCACCTCCCCACCCCCACTGGGCCCCCTTTCTCTACCATATCTCTCATTGCACCAGACTTCTCAGATGAGAACTCAGATTTGCTACCATGGAAATGGGTCCAGAGCAGGGCTAGGTCCCCTCATCAGACTGGGAACTCCATGAGGGCATGGCTCTGGGTCCTCCATCAGACTGCGAGGCAGAGGCTGATCCCACCCACAGGTCCCAACAGCTCCCAGAACAAGCAGAACCACAGGGCCAAGTCTCCCACCCACCCTGCAGTCCCTTGGGGCTATTTCTCTTGGAGGGAGAAGGACCCTTTAGAGCAGACAGTGGTCCTGCCCCTCACCTGTGCATAGAGACTGTCATTCCTGAGACGTCTGTCCTCCAGCATCTCATTAATGCTTATCTTCTCCTGGTAGCTTAACCCTGCAGAGAAAGACAGTGTGTGGACTTGGGGAGCACTGCCTAGGGGCCACCTGGGGCCTGGGGCCATATAATCCAGGCTAGGAATTTCCTCTATCCCCAGTGCCAGGGCTTGAAGCCTGCATGGATGAAGCCAGAGATCAGATACCCTGTGGGACCTGGCTCTGGATGTAGGTAAAACCTGGTGATGGCTCAGCCACCCCTTGGGAAGAGACTCCTGGACTTACACCCTAATAATTACCATACTACTATCATTTGAATGCCCATCATGCACTGGGCACCCGACTTAATTTATTATCAATCTCTAAAACAATCCTAGGAGGATTAGTTATCACTTCCAATTCAAAGAAGGGGAAACTGAGGCACTGAGCATTTCAGAACACAAGTTTGAGACCACCTCCAGCAAGTGGCAAGACCAGGATTTGAACCCAGGACTATCCAAGCAGAAGGCTGCACCACATCCCCTCCAGTGCTCCTTTCCCCAGGTGAGAACATTGAGGCCTGTGCTCAGGTGGACCACCCAGTCCCTGGAGGGTCTGGCAGCTCCTGAAGGAGGCTCTGCAGAGGGGCTCTGACCTGACCACCGAGCCTGGCTTCTCCTCCCACTCTTGAGTTCCCCCTGCTGCTCTGGGGCTGTGTAGCCCTGGGTAAGCCGTGCTTCTCCTCTCTGAGCCTCAGTTTCCTCTTCCATGAACAGGGGTAAGAAAGGGGATAGGGGATCTGACAGGAGTGAGAAGGTGAAGGTGCCTGGTCCAGACTGGCACTCGGGCTCAGGGCACTCATAGCTTCCTTCCCTTTTCCCCTCTGGGGCATGCATGGCCCTGGACCCTCCCTACCCATCAGAGGGTCTGGGGTAACATACTATCCCCTCACTTCTCATCTCTGACCCAAGATAGGGAGAGCCCTCATTCTTAGCTCCCACTTGCAGGTGTCAGGCTCCAAGCAAGCTGTGAGATCTGCCCAGGAGAGGCATGGCATCAATGGTACCCAGGGCTCGTGACAAAAAGACGGGGTTCCTAAGGTTGACTGTCACTGGCACTTACCATCAAACTGGGCCGCCTCGCCATAGCCCTCCTCTTTCTTTTCTTGGAAGAGTTTGAGGCAAGCGCTAGGGCTGGCCAGGAGCAGCCGGAAGCCCTGGCACAGAGGGAGGGAGAATGGCTCAGTGGACAGGTTCACCCTGGACACAGGAGACTCCAAACTCAGCAGAGCCCTGACTGTGTACAAGACTCCATCCTCCCCTTCAACCCTGCCCACCAGCCACAAAGAACTGTCTGCGGTTCTCCCAATCTTCCAAGCTGGTTCCCCTTTCCAGGCCTTTCCCTGGGCTGTTCTCCCTGTCAGGAGGCCCTTCCTCACTTTGCCCACCAGGAAACTCCAGTTTCTTCCCTCAAGACCCAATTCAGGTGTCTTCTGCACTGGCACAGGGATCATTCCTTGGCATATGCTCTATAGTACACTGTCCGTGCCCCTGTCAAAGTTCTCACCACTGAGCTGTAACCTCTGGTCACTGGGAAGACTCCTCACCCAGGCTGCTCCCCAAGGGAAATGCCCTCCCTAACCACCTCTGCAAGGCAGTAGAGCTGTGTGGTGACAGGCCAGAATCCACATCTGGATCTGAATCCCATCCTGTCATATATAGGCTGTATGAGCTTGGGTGAGTTAATGGCCCTTCCGAGCCTCAGTTTCCTCACCTGTAAAATGGGTATAATGATAATATCAACTACCTCATGGGCTGGTTGAGGACTAAATGAATTAAAATATGTGGACAGTTTGGCACATACTAGGTGCTCAGTAAATATTACCAATTATTGTCAGTGCCATTCCTGGCTCTTGGCTAAGGGATTTGGTATAAAGCAAACACCAGTAAGTGTAAGAATGAGCACATGAGCAGTGAGCAATGAATGCCATTAACACAGCCTGATCCCAAGAGTGCCCTGACTCTGAGCTCACTGTGGGCACAAGCTTGAGCTGGTCCAGGTGACTTCGCCCTCCCTCATCCCATCACATCAGGCAGGGGCAAAGATGGCTCAGGCAGGAAGAGAAGGGATGCACCTTTTGGTCGGAGGTGGGCACAAAGCACAGGAACTCGTCCACGTGGCCCACGGACAGCCAGTCTGAGTAGAGCTCCACGGGCGCCTGCACCTGCTGGGCCTTCAGGAAGTTTCTTACCACCTTGGCCATCTGCCGCCCACCGGACCTGGTGGGGAGGGAGATAGCAGGTGGTCACTTTGTCCCTACTTTATGTGCCCCACAAACTTCACCACAACCCTCTGTGTGGGTCCAGGGGGGAAAGTGAGGCTTGGAGAGTCAGGCCACACAGCTAAAAGGAGACAGGGCCAACCTCCCTGATTCTAAGCCCAGTGGTTCCAAGACAAAGCCAAGGCTCGGGCACTGGAGCCAAGGTGGGAGAGGGGGTGTCTGGGGATACGTCCCAGGGAGAGATGGTGCTGGCTGATCTTCCATAGGTCAGGCCTATACCAGCACAGAGGGTTCCCTGTGCTCAGAGTACAAGCTGCTACCATTTGTGCCCCCTCCCAGCCCCAGGAACTCCTGGGAACACATTCTCATCCAAAGTGCCTGCCCCTCTCCCACCCTAAGCAGCCTCTTCAAGGCCAGGAAAGCCCCCCCCCCCCCACTCAAAGGAGTCAAAGGACAGAGCTCCATTCGCCAAAGGAAACTGAAGACCCTCATCTCACAGGATTCAGCCCAGGATTCAGAGAGGTTGGCTCCTTACTCCAGGGACACGAAATATGTTCGCAAAATATGTCAGGGACCTGGTGAGGCCCTCACTCAGACCAGCAGCATTTTCCAAGTTCAGGGCCTCTACTGCCTGGGGCCATCAGAGAGGACCCCTGGACCCCTCCCCCTCTATACCTCACAGTCTCTGGGGATGTGAGCCTGGAATATGCATTTGGATAAGCTTCTGCCTCTTACCAACGTCTGAGAACCACACTTCCCAGCCATCTTGCGTGTGACACTCTAATGCCCAGGAGTTCATAAAGTGAGGTCCAGGCATTTTCAAGATACTCTTTATCAGCAGTGGGAGAGGGGAAGGTAGGGGATGGGCAGAGAGATGGCACTCAGAGCAGGGGACAGCAGGGACAGACCGAAGTTCCTAAACTGAGGGAGAAAACATCTCCAAATGCCACCCGTGCATAGGAAGGCTCCTCTGATGCTGTCTTAGCCAAGGCAGGGTCCCCATTTCACAAAGGACCCAGCTGAGGCTACAAAGTCTAAGGCGGTGACTTATCACAAGGCAGAATGCTTGATCATACTCTGGGCATTTTCACCTTTCCTTGGACAACTACAAAGACACTAATCTATAAGCACACGCTGTCTATTTGGATTGTTTTTTTTAAATAAATTTAATAAAAAAGAATTAATAAATTTAATAAAAAAGAATACTATTTCTTGCCTTTGCTTATCCAGCTTAAGGACATGTCAAGAACAAGCTCTCAGGCCTGCATTTAATCTGGCGGCTTCACTTTAAACAAAGGACAGAATCCACTGCTTCCTCCTCTCTTCCTCTGCCACCACCTGGCCAGCTGATACCTCCCTTGCCGGGATTGTCAATGGCCCATCCCTTTCTCTGTCTCTCTGTTTTCATCCTTAACGCCCCCAGGCTAACCAGAAGGAGGCTTTTAATACATCGGATCTTATCTCTGCTTCCTCTGTTTGAAGACCAAGCACCACAGCCTTCCAGATATCTCTCTCCCCACAACCCCTTGGCACTCTCTTCTGCATTCGCTCAGTCCCAGCCACGCAGGCCTCTGTCCCTTTCCTGCCTCCAGGCCTTTGCACCTGCTGTTGTCTCTACCTGGGATGTTGCCAACTCTCCATAGCTCCAGGGCCTCCTTTAAGTTTAACGTAAATCTCACCTTCTTTCTCTATGTGGCCTTGAAAACTGCAACAGCCCCCAGCCCCCTTCCTGGCTTCACTTTTCTCTACAACATCAGGCACAATCTGGCATCCTACATCTCATGGATTGTCTCACGTTCCACTAGAACGTAAACTCCACAAGGGCAGAGACTTCTAAGTTGTTCGCTGCTACATCCCCAGCACCCCGCATGTACTCCCCACTGAGAAACTATTTGCAAATCACATGAATGCCTTTGAACCCCTGTGTGAGACTCCGTGACCTCCATGAACTTGAACGTGCCATACACAAAGACCAGAAGGGAGACCTGACGAGCAGGCACAAATGAAAACATGCCTTTAAGTTCAGGGGGTCTTGGGAAATGTTTCCCTTGTGTTTCTGTTATTTTACTAACATATTGGCAATTTTAAAGGATTTCTTTAAAAACAGTGAAGTGGTGGGGAGAAGAACTAGACTTCAGAGGTTGTTCAAGAGAAGAAAGAAGTGGGAACCAGGCAAACAAGCCTGGAGAAGGGGCAGGGTCCCTCCTTAGGACACTCTCCAGCCCTCTGTTGGGAGGCAGGAGGAGGGACCCCAGGACTCCCACCCCGGGAGACATCAGCCCTTGTCTCTGAGCCATCATCCGAGCTACCACCAGGGGGCAGAATTGTTCAACGTTTTAAATGCAGGGTGCAGAGGGTAGGGAACCCACCCCAGCAGAGAGTGAGTGGGCTGGGTGTTTGTTGAGCTTCGGATAGCCCATCTGTCTTAGGCTCCTTCAAACTCAGTATCTTGTTTAATCCTCCTGGTAGCCCGTGATACCCGTACAATACCAGCTCCAGGCTACAATCTGAAGTGTGCTCTGGCACACCTAACCTTGTACCCCACTGTGCCCCTCCTTGTTCACTCTGCCCTACCTTGGTGGCCTCCTTACTGTCCTAATGTCCCCAACATCCTCCTGCCTCAGGCATGTTGTCTTACTAAATAGCCACACAGTCTTTAACTCTTATTTCTTTCAAGGCTTTGTTTAAATGTCAGATTTTCACCAAGGTTTGAACAAAGTTAACTGATCACTACTCTGTGCCACATTACCTTGTGATTATCCCTATTTTATAGATGAGAAAGCTGAGGCCTAGAAAATTGCGTATGTTCACGCATTGGTACTATATTCACATATTCATCGCATGTACTGCCTGGTTTACTTTGCTTATTGTCTGTTTCTCCCCCTAGAATGTACATAGATCGCCTGTTGTTTTCACTGCTAAGGTCAGAAGCCAAGGCAGGAACACAGGACAGCAGCCTCTGGTGCTAAGTTTTAGTTTGGGGCCCAAGAAGAATGAAACCTAGGTTCTGACTACACTGCTAACTTGCTGTGTGTTCTCAGGCAAATAGGTGTCCCTCTCTGAACCTCAGGGTCACATTTGTCCACCAAGGGAATTTCTTTCTGTTTTTCAACACAATCGCCAATGGTACGGGACACAAACAGACTGGAGATGCCTCACTTTCCCATCTGGGGCCTGGGAGCACTCAGAACAGACCTTGAACAGAGAGAAGGCTCCTGACTGAGCTCACTGGCTGGTGAGGCTGGTGAGGGCGGGCAGGTAAGGATGTACGGGTGTTGTGGCGTGGTAAAGAGATGGGGCAGGAGACTGGGTCAGAGAAAAAAGTCCTTAGGGACCACCTAAGAGCCCCTTCTCATTCTTGAGCCCCCATCCTGTGAGCTCTTTGCCCCTGAGACCAGGTCCTAAGGCCACTGGAGAAAATAGCACAAGGCTCTCCGAGCTGTCCCCCTACCTGAAGTGGTACAAGCCTCTTTGTGCCCAAGGTCTGGCCAGTCTATCCCTACCCTCTCCCCATCACCTATACAAGCTGCGTCTGCACGTCCTTTGAGCCATAGCCTTCAGGCATTTCCCCAGAGGCTCCCTCTGCCCAGAACTCTCCGCCTTTCTCTGTTCCTTTCTTTACCCATCTGTTCATCCTCTATCATTACACATCAATGTCCTTGCTCCCCCTAAGAAGACTTCCTTGACACCCCACATTGGATTATGTGTGCTCCTCTCTCTGATCCCATTGGGTGCAACTCCTTGGTTGCCTGTCTCCCTTATTAAACTGTAAACTCTCAAGGGCTAGTTTCGTGCTCATTTCTGTGTCCCCCAGCGTTGGCCCCAGGCTGGCATATAGGAAGTCTGTTAAAATATTTATTGAATTAGTAAATGAATGCATGAGCAAATGCACATAACTTTGCTTTTCTGAGCCTCGGCTTCCTCATCTATAAAACAGGAATAGTAACAGTCCTAACCTCAGAGTGTTGTTGGAAGAATTAAATGAGGTAACCCGGGTAAAGCACTATAGGCATGGCACATAGTAGGTCGTCAGTAAATTGTGTCCAATGAATCTTAACCTGCTACAAAGCAGACCACTGGGAGTCCAGGTGAACAACAGCTAAGCATTCAGAAGGTGGTTTATATGAATTCTTTACCCCCAGCAATGCTGACTATATGGCTAGGACAGGGATTTTTTATCAGGCCCATTTTACAAATGAGGAGACTGAGGTATGGGATATGCAAGAATTTGTTCCTTTAAAATACACCTGGTTTGTTCACTGATGTATCGTCAGTACCTTCAATATGCAATAAATCCTTTTAAATGAATTAATTGAGCACCAACACTGGATAGGCGGTAATACCCAAAATCATATGGCCAGTAAGTGGCAGGGCCAGGACTCCCACCCAGGTCCATCTGCTTCCAGAATCTGTGCTCCTTCCTCATAGGTCCCTCCCACAGCCACAGAAAGACTGCCCTGAAGTTTCTAGGCCCTTTAGCCCCCAGGGGGGTAATAGTGTGTGGACACGAGTCACCAGCCGGGTAAGCACACTCCTCCCACCCTGGCCAAAAGCAGCCCCAGGAACGCTGCCAGGGGGCCCAGTCACGGGCCTGGGTTGTGGCAGGAAGGCTCGCCTCACCTGATGCAGAGCCCTGAGGCCACCAGGTTCAGCCATGAAGCTATGTGACCTAGTACTGCCCAACTCCTCTGGGCCAGATACCAGATGGGCTCCCAGGGCTTGGGGGCAAGTCAGGGCACACCTCAACTCCATGCTAATCCTCCACAAATGGGAAGATGACCTCCAGATATAAGCTCCAGGCGGGAAGCAGGGAACCCCACTAGGATCCTGCACTGCGCACCCCATTCCGTGGATACCTGCAGGCAGGATGTGGACCCATTCATGGGGATTCGGCAGGGACCATCACCTGTCTGAACACTAAACCCTAAATACCTGGTTTCTTGCCCTGTCATGGCTGTCCGCGGTGGGACCTTCTGGCTCACTTCTGTCACTCAGGCATCCTGGCCAAGCACGTGCTTAACTGTAGCCACCTGCCCTTGTCACTTGGTGACCTCTAGGCCCTTTTAAGCCATTGATAGGACAGCAATTATTCCGACTTCTCAGTGGGAGAAGTCAACAAGTCCATTCTCCCACCACTGTGTCCGAGTGTCACTGTATCACCTCCCCGGTTCCTCTGATTTTTCCAGAGAAGCCAGAAATCTGGCTCTTTACATGAGGCCTCCCAGTAAACACACACACACATATAAAATGTTGGTGACTAGTCAAGTTCATAAATTAGAGAGCTAGTCACTAGTCACTAGTTTGTGAGTTTCCTCCTAAGATTCTGTAACCTGAATCTGAGATTCTCAGACTCCGAGTCTTTGATTCTATGGCACGCAGGGAGCTAAGACCCCTTCTTAGACTGGGGGAACACATCCATGGTGAGGGGACACTGCAGGTAGATACTGCCCTCAGCCCCTGGGGCCCTCCGCCACCCTCCCACCCTGACCTCTCACCTGGGGTAGTTGCCACCGATGAGGATCCGGCCCAGGGGGTACTCCACACCGCCCACCGTGACAGGTGGACTCACGTCCAGGTTGCCAAAAGAATCAAGACTGGAGGGGCCTGAGAAGGGGATCTCTCGGGTTACATATCCAAAGTCAGGACCCTAGGGGGGGAGCAGCAGGAATGCCGCCCCAAGAAGGAGGGGTCAGTTAGGACAGGAAGAGGCAACTCTTGGCAGGGAGGGGGCGGGAGGGCGGGGTGAGATTAGAAAATTCCCACTCCTGGCGCCTTGTGCCTGAAAAATCACCTCCATCCACGTTTCATAAATCCCTCTCCCCTGCACTCTGGGCTCCAAGCACCGTGCAATTAAAGTAAAATCAACAACTGAGAGATAACTTGGAAATCCCCAAATGTTTGGAAATCAAGCAGCACACGTGTAAAAAACTCGTAGCTCAAAGAAGAACTCAAAATGGAAATTAGGCAATATTTGAAAGGGAAGAGTAACAGAAATATAACCATAATTGTAACTTGCATTTCACGATGGAAAAAGAACAGTAAACTAAACCCAAAGAAAGAAGAAGAGAGATAATTCAGAGGAGAGGCGAAATCAGAGAAAAATCCCCTAGTGCCTCTAAGTCACGCCTAGGGCCTGGGGTCAGGTGGGTCCCCCCACCCCAGCACAGTGGATTGATGCACTCACCTGCAGGGTTCATTGTCACCTGGCCCTCCAGGCTGGGGTGAGTGTCTGGGCTCTAGGTATGCACAGACTCCAGAACCTTCCCTGCACCCTGTGCCGTCCCAGTGGTGGGAGAGTGGGAACCAGCCAACGGGCAGAGACCATGTTCCTACCTCAAGCGCAGTGCAGCCTCATGCTTGAGGACAAGGGCTCTGGAGGCAGTCACTGTACTTTTGAACCTTGGTGCCACCATTAATTTGCAGCATAGCCTTGTGCAAGTTACTGAATGCCCCCTGAGCCTCAGTTTCCTCCCCCATAAAGAGGAATAATAATAGCACTTAGCCATAGGTGTGCCCCATGGATTAAATGAGGTAACACACGGAAAGCTAGGGGATGGTACCTGGAACTCAATACATGATGGCTGGTGTGGCTGCTGCCATCCTATGCACAGGAGGAAGCATGGTGCCCAACAGGTAGTAGGTGTTCAGAAAACATCTACTGTTTTCTGAAGTGAGAAAACGGGTACTAGTGAATGGAAGCCCCGGCTCTTAAAAAGCCACAAGGACGCACTAAGGATGTGTTCGCTGCAAAATGTAGGCTGACCTCCCCAGGTCTGGCCACTGTGATGATTCCTCCTGGGGACCAGCCCTTTCCCTAGGAGAACTTTGGTGCCCTGCCACCCCCAGAACAGGGGCAATCACGGCTTTTTGCATGTCATTTGCATGTCCTGCCCAAACAGCCCACTGACTCCCCAGTTTGCTGATATTCCACCTCCTGGGTCCTTTTGCCCCCCTCTCTCTAGACCAGATGTCAATGAGACGTCATGAGGGCTCTGGCAGGAACCACCCAGGATTTCCCCACTCAGCCTTTGTCTGTACCAGGATCTTCTTTGGGGGGAAATCCCTCAGGCCTCGGTTTCGGGGGGAGTCAAAGACGACGGGGAAGGATTTGTGAGGGGCCTCAATGTAGCCAAACTCTATCTCATCCTGGGAGGGCAGAAAAGAGAAAGCCACTGTAACTTCCTGGGGGTGGTTTTCAAAGCAGGGTGATCCTCTCCAGCCTGGGGCGGGGCAGCAGATCCTGCCCAAGACCTGGGGGTGGGCAGAGGTAGAGGTGAGGCCTCTTGGGACCTCAATCAGGAAGGACTCTGGTCTGGGTTTGGGGGAAGACAGCAGAAGCTGGGGCCGATGCAGACAGCAGGGAAGCCTCCCCCAAGGGTCCTGGCCCCCTGGCTATCCTGGGTCCTCCAGGGAGACCGAGGCCGGCAGGGGGCTGTACAGCCCTCGCTTTCCCCAAGCCCAGCTGAAGGCTTCCCAGATCATCCCCAACACTTTCCTGGGAGCCTGTTTCTTCACCCACCTGGATCCAGCGGTCATTTCGATTTTCAATCTGAGGGCAGATGATCAGCTTGCAGTTGGCTTTCAATGACAGGAAAGACATGTCATCCAGAAATTTATCATTTGGGCCATGAGCATCCCTCACACTGTAAAAGACAGGGAGAGGGGCGCATACTAATGACCCCCGACTGTGGCTAAGGCAGGGGGTGAGGGGGACCTTGATTCAGCCTGTGCTAGGATCGTGGGGTACAGGGGTTCAGATACAGTCCCCAGAGAAGCCCATGGACTGACTGGGGGAGATAAATAACATCCCCAGATCACATCAGCTGATAGGTGCAAGGTGAGGGATAAACCAAGGCTGTGGAGCCCAGGGGCAGGGCACCCAACCCAGCCCAGGTAGTCTGAGAGTCAGCCACAGTGGTGACCTGGAGCTGAAGCTTACTGGCTAAGGTAGTGAGGGGCAAAGGACCCCATCTACCCCTGTGCCACACTACTGCCTAAGGGTCAGGGTGGGATTAGCAAGCAAACAGAAGGAAGGGATTCCCCTTTGAATACCTGCACACACCTAGACCCAGGTAAGCAGAGCAAACCTGTTTGACTACACCCTGCCCAGCCTTCGGACCTATGTCCAGCTCAACTGTGGCCCTTTCCAATGGTCTGACCTCTGACACAGAGACCTGGTGGGGCTTTGCCAATCGAGACTCACCCTTCCACCAAGGGGTATGACTGAGATTCTGAGATTTGGCAGAAGACCAGGGCCTCAGGCTGGGCCAGGCTCACTGTGAACCCCAGAAGTGGGATTCTTGCATCCTCACTGGGCAGCAGATTTTACCCATGTTATAGTCAAGCTGGGTCTCCTGTGGCCATTGAAAGCCTGAACAGGGCACGGCCCAGACTAAATCCAAGGAGTTCCAGGGCTGCTGTAGCAGGACAGGGCAGGGGCAGTAGTGCTAAGGCTTGAGCCAGTGACCTTGGAGGAGCCTTAGTTGCTCAGGGCAGGATGGGACCAACCACCTGCTGCTGCCACTGGGATGCCCTCAAATAATCTGGTGGTCTGAGCGAGGGGCCAAGGCCAGCTCAGCATCCTGCCCCTACCTCTACAAGTCCAGAGCTGCAGGGAGGGCTGCAGGAGGACTGGGGCCTCACCTGCACACATACAGTTCCTTGGGGGGCTGGGTGTTGGGGGTCATGATCCAGGGGGCCACGCGGAAGGTCACAGTGTCTGTGAAGAGGGTCACCTCAGGCAGAGTCTAAGGGGACAATGAGGACTCAGTGGGCCAGGCAGGGACCCCTATCCAGCCCAAGCCGCATCAGACCTCAAGATTTCCCAGCCCTGAGCTACCCAGCCCTGGAGCCTCCAAGCTGGTCCCCCCAAGCCCCTTAGCCCTCATGTCCACCCCCAATGTTGTACATACCCCTGTGTCCACCAGGCTGACGCTGAGGGAAACCAGCCCCAAGAAATCGGCATCAGGGAAGGCCAGCCCTTCCACATAGAATCTAATCTCTCGTTCCCCTGGCTGCCGCTCGACTTTGTAAGACAGGTCATGGGGCCCCAGAACCTGCTTGTAGTCCGAGAGGGAATTCCCACCTAGGGAGAAGCAGAGTCAGGGGCCAGGGCTAGGACAGGGGTGTGGGGGCAGAGCCACCTTTGTGTTTAGATCCACTTGGGTTCCTCTCCAACTCTATCACATGCAAGCTGTGTGACCTTGGTGCAATGCCTCAACTTCTCTGAGCCTCAGTTCCTTATCTGTAAAATGAGCTAACATTACATTTCCCAAGAGGCCAATATAAACTTTAAACTAGATAAAGAGGTAAAAACACTTGGCACAAAAGGTGAAAATAACCCAAATATCCATCCATAGATAAATGGATAAACAAAACGCCATATGTCCCTAAGATGGATTTTTTTTTCTTTGAGACAGAGTCTTCCTCTGTGACCTTGGGTAGAGTGCCATGACTTCATCATAGCTCAGAGCAACCTCAGACTCATAGTCTCGAGTGATCCTCTTGCCTCAGTTTTTCTATTTTTCTTTTCTTTTCTTTCTTTTTTTTTTTTTTTTGTAGTTTTTGGCCAGGGCTGGCTTTGAACCCTCTACCTCCAGCATATGGGACTGGCACCTTATTCCTTTTTTGAGCCACAGGCGCTGCCCAGTTTTTCTATTTTTACTAGAAATGGAGGTCTCACTCTTGCTCAGGCTGGTCTCGAACTCCTGAGCTCAAGCGATCCACCTGCCTCAGCCTCCCAGAGTGCTAGGATGGCAGGCGTGAGCCACCATGCCTGGCGAAGATGGGATATTATTCATCCCTAAAAGTGATGAAGTATTGATTCATGCTGCACCATGGTTGAAGCTTGAAGACATTATTCTAACTGAGAGATGCCAGGTGTAAAAGCCCACATACCATATGATTGCATTTATATGAAATACCCGAATAGGCGAATCTGTAAAGTCAGAAGCAGATTAGTGGTCGCGCACAGCAGAGGCTGCCGATTGTATTACACTAATGTTTTCCAGCTGGGCCCTCTGCCTAATCTTCCACCACTGGTGCGTGCAAAGAAGCATCCTGGCTCCTGCCCGGCTCATTCAGCCTGAACAACGAGTTCTGGGTCAATTTGAAGGAGGCAGGTGAAGGGGAAGTAGGAAAGGATAGGAGAGGCCTGTTGCTGTTTTTGAAAACAAGTTAAGACACTTCTGGATTAAGGGCTGGTATCGTTTTTAAAGCCATGAATTTTGATTAATAAAAACTAGTGGAGCAGCTGGGTTCCAGGAGCAAGACCTGGTCTCAGCCTGGTTGGTTCTGTCCTCCCCACTGCCTGGACAGTGCTCGGCGTACAGTTGGTGTGCAGTTCTGTCCACGCTGACTGACCAGAGGACAGGACAGGGGCTGGGGGGCCGTGGAAGGAGAAGCGGCCTTGGTGGCCAGGACACCTGGGTTGGAATGCCCTCCCGAACCCCCACTGGTTGTGTGACAGTGAATTCATGCCCCTGTGCCTCAGTTTTCCTCTCTGTAAAATGGAACGAGCCATCGCACCTCCTTCCTGGGTACTATGTTGTGCTGTTTGTAAGTAGTAGTGAGAGTTAGGAAAAGGTGATGGAGAAAAGGGAGAGATGGGTATGGAGGGGGAAGAAGGGGGGAAGAGGCCCCACATGCCACTCACCCCGAGCACAGAAGACTCCCACTTTTCTGGAGTCAGAAATGGGCACATTCAAGATCAGCTTATGCTTGTTGAAGATCTCGTCGGGGCCGTCACAGCTCAGCACCATTGGGGACATGTCCAGCAGGTCTGGGGAGAGTGGCCCCCTTGAGACCCCCCTCCTTCCACCCTACCAGCAGGATGCCCTCCCACTCCCCATCCCCCTAGGCAATCCGTTGGGTCACTCACCATCCAGAGTCATCAGCTGGCTGTTGGCAAGGTCAGGCTCACTAGATTTTTTACTGTCCCGGTCACAATTCACCAGCAAGATAGCCCCATAGCCCCTAGGGCCCCAGCGCCAGGTTTTCTATGGTAAAACAAGAAGCCTGGAGGTCAGTGGGCCCCAGGAAGGGTCTCTGGATGCCACCAGGGCTGGCTGCTTTGTTAGTTGGTAGACTTTTGTATTCTGGGCTCACTTAATGATTTAAAGAGGGATCACAGATATGAGGGTCTACGTAAGGCTCTAGACCAGCGGTTCTCAACCTGTGGGTCGTGACCCCTTTTTAACAATGAAAATACATCCTGCATAGCAGATATTTACATTACAATTCATAACAGTAGCAAAATTAACAATTATGAAGTAGCAACGAAAATACTTTTATGGTTGGGGTCACCACAACATGAGGAACTGTATTAAAGGGTTGCGGCATTAGGAAGGTTGAGAACAACTGCTCTAGACCCAAAGCCACCCCATCCTTGTTCAGTGAACAGGCTGCACCACCGTACATGGTGGCTCGGCAGCTCTACCCAGCCATCACACTGGAGGGGGCAGGGTGTTGTTGCCACACACAGATACGGCCCTTGAGAGATGGCTGAGCTTTATCTCTGCCTGGGATGGGGAGAGGGGGATTTGGAGGATCTTTGGAGACCCCCCCCCCCAGGCCAGCACTCTCCTGGGACCTGTCCCATAGATCTTTCCAATGCCCACTCAAGGTCCTCCAGACCCTGCAAGCTGAGGTCCAAGCTGAGGCAGGAAAGACAGCTAGAGCCTCTGTGGTCACCACTCTCCCAGCCATGCCGCCACTACAGCACCACCACACACGGAGGCAGGGCTCAGTGTTCCCATTTCACAGAAGAGGGGAGGGAGGCTCTGTGAAGTAAGCCCCAAGTTGCATACTTGGCCTTCAAACTCAAATCTTTGGGATTGCACAGGGCCACTGCTAGCCTATATGGTACTTTTGTCCATCCCTGTGGGTAGATGCCACCCTGCACCAGGCCCCCAGACATGGTTTGTATCAGAGCTGCTAACTTGACCAAGCACCCTTGTGCAGTAAACAACCTGGACACCTTTCCATGGCAGCCCTTCCCCACCTTGTCACAAAGCCCTGTGTCCCAGGCCACCTCCCTAGTGGGTTTTCCTGAAAATTGTATCTCTTCCCTTCCCAGGAAAGCTTCTAGATACTTCCTCTGGGGTAATGCCATGAGCCTACCCCATCCTCCTCCTTATTCTTCAGGGTTTAACTGTAGCTTCCTTTATCGGAAAACTCAGCTTCTCCTTGCCTTCATTCAGTCACTCAACAACCTTTTTGAAATACCCACTGGGTTTAGATGTCTAAATACCGACGTCACCAATGCCAATTCCAAGGTAGCATAAGAGAGACCTAGAGGGGGTAAGCTGTTTGCCAGCTGTCACACAGCGTGTTGGTCACATGGAGCAAGTTAATGTCCATTTGTGCCAATGTGGCCATCCATTGGATGGGTTCCCTACACTGTCAGGCACCAGAGACCCTGGAATCCAACACCCTTCTGGAGGTAAGGCCCACTCCACCCCAGGACACCCCTAGACTTATCTGTCAACCCTGCAGTCTTGGGGCAGCCAGGAGGGTCTCACCTTGTCCCCTCGGCTTCTCTTCACTGTACCTGTGCGGCCCGTGTCGACATCCAGGGAAACATCTGCAAAGGGATGGAGAGGGGCTGCCAGGGCTTCTCCAGCGCCGTCTTCACGCCCATAATGTCCAGGCCAGCCAAGCTTTACCCCCTTCCAAGCCCACGAGGACCAGGACACCCTGCCCTGGGGTCCCCGCCCAACACTTAGGAGGCCCTTGTGGCTGACCTGTAATGTAGTTCTGGGTATGAGTGACATCTGTGGCTCTGGGAATTGGAGGGACCCAAGTCTTTGGCTCCTGAATGACATGCATGTCTGAGCATGTTCATCTGCTACCCTTGGTGGCCTTAGGGTTCTAGATCACGAGCTGGTGATCCTTAACTGGCAGCTGGAGATGAGCCTTAAGGTCCTAGGGGCTTCCCAGGGCTCTGGCTGAAGGGACACCTATCTCTCCACAATACACAGGGGACTCCAGATGGAGGAGGTCTATTGTGGGTCCAGTTCTTGGCCCCTGGGCAGCAAAGTTTCCAGATCCTAGTGGCCCTAGGCATTGCTACATCTCAATCTCTGTGGTTCCAGAATGAATGGGGGAGGAATCTGGCCATAGTCCTTCCACTCCGAGTGATGGGCCAAGACCCTCAAACAGCCAACCTGAGGGGCAAGGGGACATCAGACAGCCAGGGAGGTGGCACTTACCAACACCAGTGAGGTAGAGCACACTGTGGCCCAGGGCATCGCCCTCGGGCTGCCTGAAGTAGTAGACCTTCACCTGTGGGAACACACAGCCACCCCCTGCAGAGATGGAGGTGGCAGGGGAAACGGGGGACACATCCCAACAGTCCTGCATAGAGGCAGGGGGGCACGGAGACCCCCAGGTGCTCCCCGATGCTGAGCTCTGGGCTCAGACTTGGAGCAGCTTCTGTAGCTAGAAGCTCTGGGTATCCTGCTGGCCCCCAGAGCAGGTCTGGGGAGAGGAGGGCGGGGAGCTGGCAGGGGGTGTGGCAGCACCCAGGTGACTTAGACAAGCCAGTCAACACCTCCAAGCTTGCAGTTCCACATCTATAAAACGGGAACGATAACCCCTGCCCCCTGGCCACTGCTGGTGGTCTCCGAGCCTTTAGTGGCACAGCACAGAACCCACACCAAGCATTCCACCTAGGTTGTCCCAGTGAGCCCCTGGGATGGCCCGTGTAGACAGGGGACCCACCCGCGCTCACTGCAGTCCTGCAGCTAGCTCACAGGGAGGCAGGACCTGAGTCCCTTTCCCCTGCGGGGGGCATATCAACCAGCCAGCCAGTCACTGTGGGTGTAGGTGCAGTGCCTGGGGCTGGGGTGAGGGAGGAGGTGTCACTTGCTTTCAGGGTGGGCAATGACAGGGAAGGCTTGCTCAGGATGGGAGACCCGCACACGCGGCGTGCATGCAGCATGTGTGTGCACACAGGGAGTTGCTGTGGAATCCCGCCTACCCCAGGAGTGTGGGGGTGTCTTGTGGGTTCTGCATGGAGGTTGGATACAGGGTCCAATGGAAGGGTGTTTGTGAATTTGAGGGGTGACTAGTGGGCTCATGTGTTGGGGTACGATGCTGGGACATGGGCGCAGTTTGTGTGTTTGGGGCTTCTGGGGGTTGTATCAGGATGTGTCGTGTGGCTGTAGATGTGAGAGGCTCTGTGGGGTCTGATTAAGTGAGGGTGCTTTGCAAATGAGAACATGCCATAGGGGGAGACCCAACTCCATACTGTGAGGAACTGGCCTCTTACCTTGAGGTCCTTTGACTCCTTACTGGTTGTGTCCACGGACACAACCACATCCAATTTGGCATCCAGGGGACGGCGGGCCTTGCCTATGGGCTCTGTCTCTCGTGTGGTGTGGTAGACCACAAAGACCTCCACCCCGGAGCTCGCAGAGACCCTGAAGGTTTTGGCACCCTGGGGCACATCACTGGCAGAGAAGGGAGAGAGGAAGAGACCCGGGTGCTCAGGAGAGGGGTCTCCATGAGGAGGGAAGCAGTGGGGCAGTGGCACTGGCCAGGAGGCCAACCTGGGTGAGACTCAGGCAGCCAGGGCATAGATGGCAAACCTGGGGTCATCCGCCCCCATGAGTCTTCCCCATCTGACACTTCCAAATCCTCCAGTTCAACAGGAAATCCATTTGACCAACCACCTCTCACCACCTCCACAGCCATGGCCAAGGTTCAAGCCACCATCACTGCTCACCCAGACTGCTAAGCTCCTTCTTCGCTGGGCTCCCCGGTCCTGCCTGGGGCCCCACCCTCATCTGTTCTGCATATAGCAAAGTGTGCTGTCTCTTTGCTCAAAAGCTGTGGTTTCCATAAACCTCAGTAAATAGCAAAGTCCTCACAGTAGCACATGAGCCCCGTCCCCACCTACCCCCATCGCCTCCCTGACCCCCTCTGCGCTTTTCTCCAGCCCCACATCGGCCTTCCTCCTGTGCCATGAAGACACCAGATTGCCCTGCCATGGGGCCTTTGCACTGGCTGCTCCCTATGCCTAGAATGCTCCTCCCCGGATACCCACAAGGCTCGCTCCCTCGGCCCTGCTGGGGCTCTGCCTAATGGTCACTTTCCTGGTGAGTCCCCACCCCTCCATGTGATGTGGCACCTTGCCCAGCTTCTTCCCATCTGGCCACGAGGATGGCATGGCAGCACCCTGGGCCCTCATCCCTGTCACCTCTCTTCCAATGACCCTGCTCCCCACCTGGCCTGAACCCCTTTGTCTCATGGACGGACCCTCTATGATGTCATTACCAACAACTGCACCAGCTACAAGCAACCCTGTTAGCACCCCACTCAGATGCCACCTCCTGACATTCCAGCTCACTCCGAACACGCCAACACCACCAAGCCCTCAGCCCCACTGTGACCCTTGACCCTTGAAGATGGAGCCCTCTCTACCCACCCCTCCCTGTCTCTTGCCCCCCACGTTCTCTTTGCTCTTTAGATCCCACCGTCTCCTCATCGAGGTCTCTCCCTTACTCTACTCTCTTTTGCCTGGCAGCGCCCGAGCCATCATCAAACTCACACCCCACCCTGGGCCCCTGCACTACACAGCTGACCGTGGCTCACTTAGACTCACGAACCCTGATCCCAACACTACACGGCAGCCCTACAACATTTTTCAAGCTCCTTTTCACTTTCAGTGTCCTAGAACTGCGGTCCTTGCAACCCCCAGGCTGCGGACCAGTAGTAGTCTGTGGCCCATTAGGGACCAGACCACACAGCAGTGAGTGGTGGGCTAGTGAGCAAAGTTTTAGCTGTATTTACGGCCACTCCCCATTGCTCACACTACAGCCTGAGCTCCGCCTCCTGTCACATTAGCCGCAGCGTTAGATCTGGGTAGTAGATTGTCATAGGAGCGTACTGTAAACTACTCACACGAGGGATCTAGGTTGTGCTCTCCTTATGAGACTCTAATGCCTGATGCTCAGAGGTGGCGCTGAGACGGTGATGGTAGCGCTGGGGAGCAGCCCAGATTATCATTAGCAGAGAAGTGTGACTGCACAGAGATCATAATAAATCAGTAGTTTACTGACTCTTATCAAAATCCCAAAATTGGCAAGTGACAATTAAGCTGTTTCTGGTGTCAGCCTTTATAGTGGCAATAGAACTGATGTACTTCAGTTGTACAGCTGTATCTAGTGTCAGGCTTTAAATCAACATCTGACACTTATTTTAGTTGGCACGTGGCCCGCCCGCTATTTTATTCACCAATTCTATCCTCCCCTCCTTCCCACCCTGTACAGCTGTCTCAGTCACAGTTTTTGGTAATCCTGCAAGCTAACCCAAACACAAAGGAGTACAAGCCAAATATCGCTGGACAGCTTCTTCAAAAAGGGGGAAAGACCCCAATGAGGAGGCAGCAGGAGACGCTAGGACTGCCAACAAAGTGAAAGCCGCATTTGAAAGAAAATACCCAGAATCTTACTTAGATCACGGGTTCACTGCAACAGCGATGCTCTCCAAGCCCCCCTGTGTAACTTGGGGTGACCAGCTCCAGCAAAGCTTCAAAACTGTTTTGCCACATGGAGACCAAGCGCGCTGCATTAAAAGACAAACCCCTGGGCGACCCCACCTGCCACGTGGATTTGCCGAGAACTCCCAGACCTCCATCCCGCTAACCTGTCTATCGAGAATCTCCCTGGGTGTGTGGTGGGCATTTTAAATTCACGTGTCCACTGCTAAACTCCTGCTTCCACATCACTTCCCGGTCTGTTCCTGCCCAGGCCTGTCAATCACAGCTCTGTCCTCAGATTCGTCCTCCCCTCCTCTCCTGTTCCCACACTTTCAGCAGGTCCCTCAGAGAGTCCCCTCAGGTCCACTATCATGATGACACCAGACACCGGCCGCTCTCACCTCTGCCCGAGCCACCAGTTTCTTCCTCATGGTGTACAATAGGCTGGTTTCCCTGCGTCCTCTCTTAGTCCCCACAGTCTGTCCTTAATACAGCACCCAGAGGGGGGACCTTTTCAAACAGGCCCTCCTATCGCCACATGCTCAGAGCCTTTCCTCAGAGCCTGTGTGGTCTGCCAGCTGTGACCTCCACACGCACCCTCGCACTTGATCCTGGCTAGTTCTCAAGCCCACAGCTCTCTTCATCTGGAATGTTCCTTTCACAGATAATCTACTGTACGCACAGTCCTCACTTCCTCCTCAGAGAGGCCTTCCCTGACCACCTTTCTGTGAACAGAGTGCAGTGACACTGAACCCCCTGCTCTCTGGCCCCAGCCTCATTCTAACCCACAAGTCACCTGACAGATTACAGATCTGCCTCGGGGACCTTTTCTGTTTTATTGTCTCCACAGCACTGCTGTCATCTCAAAATGCAGCTCAGTGCCCCAGTAGACCAGAAGCATGACACTCGCATCATGATGAGGACTCAGCAACTCGGGACCGTGGAGTCGCTTTCTCAGGCCTGTCCAGCTGGGAGGCAGCTCAGCTGGGGTTAGAATCTGGCCTGCCCTGGCCCATGCATCCTGAGAGCAAGCGGCCCGAGCTCAGGATACCCAGCTTGTGGCAGAAGGGTTTCCGGCTCATGGGAGACCTCTACCCCACCTCATTCAGCGATGCAGCCCTTTCAGGGGGTGGGGGAACTGTATCCCCAGCTTTGGGCAAAAGATGACATCTCCAAGTCACAATCTGGCCACAAAATCTTCTCTTTGGAGTCTTGGTAGAAAATAACAATAATAATAACAATAACAACAATGAAAGAAGGAGAAAGAAAAGACGGGGTACAGTCTCCCTGGAGTTATTGGGACCCGCTGAGCCCAGCATGGCCTCACGCAGTTGCGATCTGGCCCCTTCCTATCCCAAACTTGCTCAGTAAGTAGCTCCAGCCTCCGTTCACCCTTCTCTGGGGTGGGTGCTAGGTTCCTGGTCTCAGCTTCTTGCTCCCTGCGGGTACCAGGTGAGTGGGGAGCAGCGATGGGGTGCTTGGGGGAGAGGTGGCTTCCTGAAGGCACCTGCTGGCCTCCTTACTTGGCCTCTGGGTGGGGCCTGTTTTAGTCCCAACCCCACTGCCTTATTGGTGAGCAAGGCCCCCTTCACTCCATCTGGGTTGGCCTCAGCTGCTGGAAAGCTGAGGGTGACACAGCATCAGGTTTAAAACTGCCAGGAAGAGCCTGGAGGGGGTGCTGTCTCTCGCAGGTGCCTGAGCAAGACTAGTGTGCCAGGCAGGCTCTGCAGCACCCCGGATTCTCACTCCCTTGCATCCCACCTCCACCCCTGCACCACGCCTTGGAGATGGGGCTCACTCTGCTTCATCTCCCCGGTGTCCAGATCTGTAGGCATGGCCATGAATTAAGGGCTGATGGGGGAGGGGGAGTGGGAACTTAAGGTGAGTCCCAGGCCACCCCTGAGTGGCGGCATATGTCTCCACCCACCTGCTTTCTGAGCTGCCCCTTGGCTTCCCGCCCGATCTTCACCTCCCAGGCTCCTTCCCCTGGGTGGAAGCTCCTGGTGCAGCCTCCAGACCCAAACAAACCCCAGGGATGCAGTGCTGGCAGGGCCCCAAAGTGACACGTGAGGTAATGAACTTAAAAGAACCCCTTTAAATGAAAAGGGCCATAATCATTACTACTGCAGGTGTCACCCTGCTGAGTGTCCCTGTAATTACTGTTATTATCGTCTTCCTTTCCATCCTCATGCTGAGGAGCCGGCAGCCTCTGGAGGCCCCTCCTCCATCACTACCTGGGCAGAGCTGGGGCAGGAATCTTTTGTATTCTTCAATACCCACTTCAAATGCCCTCTCTTCTGTGGAGTGGAGTGTGGCCTCCAATCTGGTCTCTTACCTGGTAGCGCCTCAGTTTTCCTTCTCTGTAAAATAGACACAATCCAAAGAGCTACTTCCTAAAGTAACTGAGGGTTCTGTGAGATGACGCTTTGGAAGAGTAACACTCATTGATTAGCGTTAGATGCTGTCACCACCATTACTATTATTCTTCTCAGGGTGCCCCCCGCTGAAAGCCCACTCTGCTCAGGCAAGAAGCCCAGGTCCTTCCTCCATGCCCCCACAGCACTGGCTCAGCCCTTCCTGGGGGCCCCTGGACAGCCTGCCTGTGCCTCTCAGAGCACATCCTCCTGACTCACCCTGCAACGTCCCCTGTCCCCGTGCCCAGAGCAGGGCCAGGTGCACCAGGTTCAACAGAGAGGCAGCCAGGAGAATAGAGGACATTCTTAGAGAGTCTCGCAAAAGCCGGCACAGAGACTGGAACAGAGAAAGTAAGAACAACAGGTCGGGCTCGGCACCTGTGGCTCAAGCGGCTAAGGCACCAGCCACATACACCTGAGCTGGCGGGTTCAAATCCAGCCCGGGCCTGCCAAACAACAATGACGGCTGCAACCAAAAAATAGCCGGGCATTGTGGCAGGCACCTGTAGTCCCAGCTACTTGGGAGGCAGAGGCAGGAGACTCGCTTGAGCCCAGG